CAATCTCGCTTAATCAGCTCCCAGGCACATGCAGAGAATCTTATGGCCACGTCTCTCTCATCCTGTTCGGTTACACGCATGCAATAGGGGTTTACGAGACGTTCGTCTCTCGCGATCGAACGCAGATACCGCGGGGTTATCACTCGAATCCTCTAGATGAGGAACTTTTATTTGGTCTGGTGAATGGACGTAGAGCTACGTTCGGCCGGCACTGAGATCGCGCCACGTAGCAGGCACAAAACCGTGGACCCGACCAGACGAATAGTGGGTATGTCGCACGTGCGTTTTTTAAATCCATGACAATCCGATATTGCTAAGTATTGCTCGATATTGCTAGGTATTTGTCGATTTTACTCGGCAATAACGAGAAATACCATTATGTGAAGACAAATACCGATCAATACCGAGTAATACCAAGCAATACCGAGTTTTTCTAGAAAAACTCGGTATTACTCGGTATTGCTCGGTATTGGTCTTCACATAGCGGTATTTCTCGTTATTGCCAAGCAATATCTAGCAATACCGTGCAATACCGAGTAATACCTAGCAATACGCGGACATAACATTCCTAGGTTCCAGTCCGGGTCAAATCGTCGAGCCGCACGATAAAGAGTAAGAGCACGTGGCGCGATCTCAGTGGTGACCGCACGTAGAGCTACGTCCGGTCACCGGACCTAATAATTGTTCCTAGATGAGACGCACTAGATGTTTGTCTATCTCGAAAAAATGAAGAGACTGCGGGATGAAGCACTTTCCCTCTTTCCAAGGAACAGACAAGCTGGAATATGTTGCCTTTCCTTTCTGAAGGGAAGGCCAAGCCTTACCTTTAGAAAGTCTGATAGTAAAAAAACTCAGAATTTCGGTCAAGGCAATGAAGGCTCTGATACCATGTTAAATTGAGAGAATTGGAGAGGGAAAATGCCTTCATTTTATTACACAGGACTATCACTATTTATAGATCTATACAAAATATCTTAATAAAGAAACAAATATTTATAGAATCATGCAAAGTAGCTATAATATAATCCTTTCTAAATCAGCCACCCGAATATGGAATCGGCTTGATCCAGGTGAGCCTCCCACAGATCCCCATGTTGGCCATAGGACCAAGAGGTAAGGAATGATTGGGATTTAATAGGTGAGCCTCCCATGGATCCCCATGTTGGCTGTGGGATCAAGGGCTAAGGTACGATGGGATCTAACAATAGGCCATCTTGCACTTCAATATTTTTCAACCCAAGATACAAAGCATGTATTTGCAGGAAACATCACATCACAGATGGATGAAAAGAAATAAGAAGAGAATTCATAAGAATTAATAAATTGCTTGTTGTCTACTGAAGATGTTTTAATTAAAAGAAAGATGGCTCGGTACTTGGATTAAATTGAAATAAATTTGTCAAGGAGGGTCTTTGGCTGAAACAACTGATTAAGCATCTATTCTGACATGCATCCTAATCAAACTAATTGAATGAAAACCATAGTTGCTCCAAACATAATGATTGACACTCAAATCTGACACACAAAACAAACCTTCTACACTTTCCAAGACTCATTGTTTCCATTCCAACATGAGAACCTGACAACTGGAATACTTCCAACCATACTTGTCAATAGCGAATGGCGCAACACGGCGCAATATTTCCCGTGGAGCCGTAGCGTTTAGTGTACGGCACAGCGAGCACCATTTTGAATACAACGCAAAATAAAAAAGAATAATAAAAATCTTTATATGGATCCTATTTTAGATTATCAATCAAGTTGGGTAAGGCTTAGTTGAATATGTCTGTGGTCCAAAATCCAAACCATTAAAGCGAGCTTCAAGTTATCCAAAATTTGTACTAAAATAAAGTCCAATAAAACCTAACTAAATTGTTTTAATCATATCAAATAATTTTAAAATTAATTATTACATTAGTTTAGAAATTAAAATATATAAGTATTAAAAACTATTTATAATTATATTAAAAAATCTCCAAAATTCAAATTATGTGTGTTGTGCGCCATTGCGCCCGCCATGGCGAAAATGGCGCGCACCAACTTGAACATGTACATTGCACCATGCACCTGGAGCCGTTGATGTGCTGCGTCATGCAGCTGACGCCGTTGGTGTGCCACGCCATGCGCCATGCCGCGAGCCATTTCGCACCATTGACAAATATGCTTCCAACTCACTTCCATCTTCAATCAGCATCTAACAAGCTACTTTTGTTGCCTTTTCCTATAAAAGCTACTTTAGATTCTTTCACCAACACTTCTTTAATCTCACTAGTTGGATCACATCAATTCTTTTTATGGATACTATATTTTATAGATCACCTTGTTTCTCCCTTAACTTCTAACTACCATCATTGCCCACCCTACCAGCCACACAACCTTCCTTATTAACTTAGTCCCATCCTCTCACATCAATTTATACCAACTCCACCCCATCCTCTCTTCCCTCTCCATAAGAAATGCTAGCATCCAAATCATGCCACTCCATTAAAAGTCAAAACCACCACCATCACCTAGCTTCAATTAAATTCCATCTCCATCTCATCATTTTTCACGGTCAATAAACCTATGACTGAAATTAAAGCATCCTAGGTGCTATCTAATAAAACAACCCCCCACTACATGGAATCGGCTACATGTATCCTTTTTCTCTATTGTGTTCTATTAAGAGTCCAATTCTCATTTAAATCTAATAAAAATATTCATTTTAATACTTTCTAATCAAGTCTTTTTAGGTCTACCTCTACCCTTCCTAACATAGGTCGGATCTAATACATCTACACTCTCCTAACAATGTCATCGAAAGGTCAACATTTTATATGACCGAACCATCTAAGATGACTCTCTCTAATTTTATCTGCCACTATAGCTACTCCAACTTTTTCACGTGCATGTGATATGCCTTGGAATCAATTTCAGCAAACACAGTATGAAATTCATAGAAAAATAGTAAAAGAACTGCATATTTTGGAGGAAATAGTGACTGATTTTTATTAATAACTCAACAATAAATAAAGATACCAACAACCTACAGTTAAGAGTTAGATTGTCTCACCCAATCAACCTAGACGCCACTAGGAAGCCCTCACCAAAACAAAAATAAAAAATAAATAAAATAAATAAAAAAAAAAACTACAGTAGAAAATTCAGTAAAACATGCATGACAGAAAATAATCCTAGACCCCTCCTTAAATAAGCTCTCAATTTCCCTTCAAAACAAATTTCTCTACAATTGTCACTCCACCCAAGAGGAAAAGGGAATAAAGTGAATTGGGGTTATTCAAGAGGTGATATTAGGGTTATTCAAGAGGTTATAAGGCAATTCATCAAAGCAACGAGAAGAGGAAGACGATGGCAATGAGAAGTTTCAAGCAAGAATAAAGAAGCAAGACAACTCAAGAGAGGACCTCTCAATATGGGTTAAGCTACAATTCTCAACTCATTCATTTCGTCATCTCCTCAAAGTGTATAATATTTTTAGTTGATTAATTGGCAATAAGGATAACCTGGTTTGAGGTTTCCTATTGAAAATGCTCATCTTAATCGTAATGATAAAGAATTGTAATTTCTTAATTGTATGCTCTTTAACTTATAAACAAGGCTAATCCCATAGTCTTGAAAGAAATACCTACAAAGGCTCTACGAATCAAAACAACCCATAGCGTTGATCTATGGAACACACAAATTCCTTGCATATAGAGTTAAAAGGAGCTTCACCATAAATTATAATGTCCATCCTCGGTCAACTTCATCTAAAGATGCATTTAAATGCCCAATTCAAATTTAACATGATAAATATTAAGCTTAACTTTATATGTCCTTTAGGTTTGATAAAATACTAAAATGTGCATGTTAAATTCAACCTATAAAAGGGAAAATGATTAAGATTTAAATTTTACTCATCTAAAACAATGATCTCCAAAGTTTCGAAGGAAATATAAGCATAAATCTTAGAATTCCACATGCGGTATAAGTACTTGCAAGTATGTCACTTGCTTGTCTCAAGCCATGGCATGATTAAAAACTTCAGAATCCATGCATAGATTAGTATGCAAGATCATAATTGTTGAACTAAATTTTAGAAATCGACATTAGTTATACGTGCTTGCACGTATGTCTTGCTCAGCTCAATCAGAGAAGATCGTGATAAAAATCTCGAAAACTCATGCGTAGAGAAAAAGTTCATAAGAAGAGCATACAAGCATTACAAAAAATCAGATATGACGCACAAAAGTAAATTTTCAAGGATAAATGTTAATGATAGAAATAATCACTAGTTATTAATTTGCATATCAAGTAACCATGGATAATTTAGGAGAACCATTGAAAGAGGGATATATTTGGTGTTGTAATAATTCAAATTGATGGTTGACTCATCTCTTTGGGCAAACCTAGTAAAGTGGTTAGAGTTTTTTTTATTATTATTATTTTTTTAGTAAAATGGTTAGAGTTCCTCCTTTGTAATCAAGAAATCAAGGGTTTGAGTTATGAGAACCCCCTCTTGACAAATATAAGAAAGAGGCTATATATATCAATGCATCCTCAAACTCCACATTATCGAGACAGTTGCAACCCAAAGTTATGCATTTTATCTCAAGTAACAATTCAATTAATGCCATTTGCAAGAGAGGTATGTCTAAATTAGGATGCGTTGATATATGTAGCCCTTTATCTCCACAAACATCATGCACCCATTCCAAAATCACTTTCAAACAATGTTCTAAAAAGCACAATTAAAAAGTAATTCAAAGAGAGAGTACTTTCTTTTAACCCAAATAATTGGATTAATGTGTGCCTTAAAGTGTTTTGCTTCTAAAGTACAATGCGCTACCTTGCACATTTCAATACAATAAATAATAGGCACATACCTTCAAAATATAAAGACACCAACTCAACCTATGAA